AGACAGGGAGAGAGACAGAGAGACACACATAGAAAGAGATGTTGAGAGACAGAGAGAGAATAGGCACACAGAGACAGACAGACACAGAGACAGACACACAGAGACCCTATACATAAATAGACACACAGAGAGACAGAGACAGGGACTGGTGTAGGCTTTTGAAAATCCAAAGCCCACCCCCAGTGACACACCTCCTCCAACAAGGCCACACCTCCTAATCCTTCCTAAATAGTTCACTAAATGGGGACTAAGTATTCAAATATATGAGCCTATGGGTCTCCTTCTTATTCAAACCACCACAGTGCTTATTTACTTATTGGGGAGAGGGCATGTGGAAGTCAGGATATGGTCTGTTTTATCCTTGGATCCTGGGGATTGAACTTGAGTCATCAGGCTCAGCAGCAAGCCCCCTAACCCACTGAGCCATCTTGTTGGCCCTAGTTTGGTGCTTTTAGACAGGCTCTCACTTTATAGCTTGGGCTGGCCTAGAACTACTATATAGCCCAGGATGTCCTTGAACTTCCAATACTCCTGCCAAAGTCTCCCTAGTGCTGGATCAGCCATCATGCTTTATTTATTTTAGTTTCAAGAAAAGGGATTGCTATATTTATGTAGCCCAGGCTGGCTTGGAACTCCTGACCCTCCTGACTCTGTTTCCCAAATGCAGAGATTACAGGCATTTGTCAACCATACATGGCTTTGGCTTTAACACTAGTTTTTCATAAATTCATTTCATAGGGTTAACGACATTCCTTTGTGGGCTGGAGAGATGGCTCAGAGGCTAAGAGCACTGGCTGCTTTCTGCAAGCTGCAAAAATATACAAAGTAGGATTTCAGCTGATTATGACAAAGCTAATACCTGGAAGTAGCCAAGGGCCTTCCAGAGGTCAAGCTGAGGCTCAAGGAGCCTTGGTGATATTTGGCTTTTGATTCTGCTATGAGTTTCTTGCTATTGTAGCTTTTCCATCATTTATTGGGCACCGTTTCCCTTCTACTAAAGGAATATTTAGATAACCTTGTGCGCTGACAGCTATGCACAGCCAGAATCCCAGTTCAAGCCTCCCTGTAATTATCACCTGGCAGCATCTGGCCAGGTCCATCCCCAGACGGAGGAAGTACCTTATCAGAGATACCTCTGTACTCTCTAAGAACAGACTTAACCATCCAGGATACCTATTTGAGAAAGCCTGGTGGATGTGCCAATTAAGCTTAACTTTCTCCTTTCCCAAACCTTACCTCTAGTTCCAGATCTCCCTTTAACTATCACCAGAGGCATCTAGCAGCACACAGGTTGCCTAGCGACCAAGCACACCTACCCCCACCCTGCGAAAAAACTGCAGATAGCTTGGACAGATAAGAGCCACAGGAAAAAAGAAGGCAGTTTTATTTTCTCCCATTGACCTAGCAAGTTAAAGATTCTTAACATTTTCTACCAATCACATTTAAGATTATAGTTGAGCACATAAGATCCCTCTTCTTAGATATTACCCGAATTTAGCTTTGAGTTAATTCTTCAGTCATTTCCCTTTTGGGTTGCAAGTGATAACAATCATTGCCCCTCTATGTGATTCTTATCACTCCTCCATTTGCCCCTGGAATCCTGGTGGTCACTGCCTGAGGAAAATTCTTACCTGCCTTTATGTCCCTGTAGAATTCAAGCCTTTCTGGTGACCTTGCTCGGCCAGGGGCTTGCTATTGCTTGGGTTCATAACTGGATTCCTGGGAGACTTAGGAGGAAGGTGAAGAACTTAGAGATGGAGAACAGAGAGGGATAAGGAGGATTTTGACCATAGAGTACATGTGGGCGAGATGGAAGATGAGGAAGTCCTAGCTGGGTAAGAACAAGGTGAAAAGGACCTAGATGAGGCAGAATTAAGATAGAACTTAGATGGACCAATGGATAAATATAGAGAGAAAGCAGGCAAGAAAGGAGCTAGGCATGAGGACAGAACTGAAGCTGTGTATATAGAATGTTATGCCAGAGGAATTCAAGCAAGTAGACTATAGAGCTCAGTGTGCTGAGATCCTCTTTCCCAAAAATAGTCCTTGCCATTAGTAGTTCTCTCTCCCGAGCCCCTGGGATGTATAATATTAAGGCTGGTCCCTCTAACATTATACAAGAGCTGCTCTTCTAGAAGTCCTGAGTTCAATTTTCAACAACCACATGATGGCTCCCAACTATCTGTAATGAGATCTGGCGCCCTCTTCTGGCCTGCAGGCATTCATGCAGACAGAACACTGTACATGAGAAATTGTAAAAAGGACATTTCTAGCTGTGCTCTAGTGGCACACGCCTTTAATCCCAGCACTTGGGAGGCAGAGCCAGGCAGATCTTTGTGAATTGGAGGCCAGCCTGGTCTACATAGCGAGATCCAGGAAAGGCGCAAAGCTACACAGAGAAACCCTGTCTCGAAAAACCAAAAAAAAAAAAAAAAAGGCCTTTTTTTTTTTTTCTTATTTTTGGGTTTTTTTTTTTAAAAAAAATCATGAGTTTTGATTTGTCATATTCTTTGTTCACACGGATATGTGAGTACACTTGTGCATGTGTCTGAGCATGCATATGGAATCTAGAGGTGGATACCAGGTGTCTTCCTTTAATTTTTTTTGAAATTTACTTATTTGTATTTTATAGGTATGGGTGTTTTGCCTTGTGCACTACATGCATTCAGTGCCTGCAGAGACCAGAAGAGGGTGTTGGGTTGGGTTCCCTGGAACTGGATTTACAGATGGTTGTGAGCTGCCATGTGGGTGCTAGGAAGTTGAACCCAGGTCCTCTGGAAGAGCAGTCAGTGCTCTTAACCTCTGAGCCATCTCTCCAGCCCCACCCCTCATATATTTTGAAATGGGTCTCTCACTGAATCTAGAGCTCACCAATTTGACTAGGCTGACTGGCCAGAGAGCCCCAGGGTTCTCTTTTCCTCCCCGAGCCCTGAGGTTACAGATGCACACACACACACCACACAGGGCTTTGCACATGGGTGCTCAGGCTTGCACCTGAGACAGCTCTGCAGTTCCAGATTCTTTTTATGTGTCCATTGAGACGAAACATGGTTTTCTCTTTCTTATTTACCCAGCCATTCTTTGTTCCTCTTTTCTTTCTTTTCCCCTTCTTTTGTGTACTGTTAGTAATTGTCTTAGGGTTTCCATCGCCTGGAAGAAACACCATGATCAAAAAGCAAGTTGGGGAGAGAAGGTTTTATTTGGCTCACACTTCAACATTGCTGTTCATCAGTGAAGGAAGTCAGGATAAGAACTCAAACAGGGCAGGAATCTGTAGGCAGGAGCTGATGCAGAGGCCATGGAGGGAGAGCTGCTTACTGGCTTGCTTCCCATGGCTTGCTCAGCCTGCTTTCTTATAGAACCCAGGACCACCAGCCCAGGGATGGCTCCACCCATCATGGCCTGGACCCTCCCTCATTGATCTCTTACTGAGAAAATGTCTTACAGCTGGATCTCGTGGAGGCATTTCCTCCACTGAGGCTCCTTGCTCTCTGATGACTCTACCTTATGTCAAGTTGACACACAAAGCCAGCCAGTACAATAATGGATCCTATCTCCACTCTATATCATCTGGTTGTTTAATGTTTCACTATCTTCTTTTTTAAACTAGTGTTTATGCATCTTTAATAGTCTACCTTCCAATGATAACCTACACCAAGTATACTGTGCAAAGCTTACACAGTACCTACCACCATCCCCCATCCTACTCTTTGTTCTGTGATTTTCCTCTATTTTGTTTCTACGTTAAGTTTTCTGCTCCACAGTAAGTGGTTATCAGCTTTTTTTTTTTTTTCTTTTTATGTTGAGGATCAAACCCAGGGACTGGCATTTGCAGGACACAGCCCTTCCAACCACATCTGTAGAGCATTCCCCCCCCCCCCCCCCCCCCCGCCCCTTTAAATTCAAGTCATATTTCCTTCTTGAAGGACTCTGGATGACCTAGAATTTCCTATATAAAACAGGCTGGTCTCAAACTCAGAGAGACCCACTTGCTTCTGCCTCTCCAGTGCTGGGATTAAAGGCACATGCCACATCACCCAGCAAATGTAGTTTTAAAAGTTAAGTGGATATGCACGTGCCCACTTGTCTATATGTGTACCGTGTGTGAGAGCGCTGGTGGGAGCCGGAAGAGGGCATCAGAACCCCAGGAACTGGAGTTAGAGGCAGTTGTGAGTTGCCTGGCATGAGAGCAGGGAACTAAACCTTGGTCCTCTGGGAGAGCACTAGGTACTCTGAACCAGTGAGTCATCATCTCTCAAGTCCTGCTTTTGTTTTTTGATATATGATGATTATCAAATTAAGAAAGTTACCTTGTTTGCTAGGAATTTTTCATTATTCTAAGTAGGATAAAACCTTATAAAATGCCTTTTCTGCATTAGGATAAACACTTTTCTCCTTTAATCTATTAATGTAGTAAATTACAGAGATGAATTTTTCTAATAATAATGAAACATCTTGCATGCCCATGATAAACACTGCTTAATTATGTCGTACTACGTTTTAGGAATTGTTGGAATTCACAGTTTATATTTAGGATTTTCACATCCTTGGGGGGGGGGGTGTGGCAGCGGCCAAGGGGTGCTGGAGAAGCCAGTGATTATGAAAGCCCAGTCTAGAGCATGACTATTGGTCGTTGTTTCCATCAGGTGTGGCGGAGGCAGCCTTATGCCTGAGCAGCCTTGCCCTCCTCCTCCTGTCCACTCGATTTGGGTGTGCTCTGGAGAGTCCATGGAGACAGAAAGCTTTGAGGGCCAGTAAGCAAGGGTCCCTGGGAGACCACACTGGGAAGCCAGCTGGCCAGTCTGATCCCTCCCATGGCTCAGGAGTATCACTGTGGTAACTAAACTTCCAGGCAGAGGTCACAGACCCAGGTTCATGCCTTTTTCTGAGCTGTACCTCTCTTCTGCCTCCTGGCCAAGGCAGCATCCTCCTTCTCTTTAATTACTCAGAACCATTTTCTTTCCCAAAATAAAGACCAGCCTCAGAAAGCCACACATGAAACCAATTTCAAATGAACTTTAATTTTTTTTTTTTTTTTTTTTTTTTTTTTTTTTGCTGCCCAAATACTGTACATGCAGAAGCCGTGTGAAGAATTTTCTCCTCAAGGGGATTGGCAAGGACGTCACATGAGACAGCCGGCATTTCCCTCCCAGCTGCCCACCTGCCATCCAGGAGCCACAGTTTGGAAAGACGCTGCACACAGAAACTGCAGAGAGCTCAGGTATAAAAGGCTAATTACTTCTTATCGAAACAGTGTGCTTGTCAGTCCCTAACAGCTCTCGCTCGCTCTCTTCGCAGGATGCATTTGGAAATTCTAAAAAAGGGGTTCCTGCCTTCTGTGAGTTTCCATGCTACAGGAGTTGCTGGAAGTCTTGGGTCTGCTTTCCCTGAGGAAGCAGCCACTCTGCCTTCTGAGATAACGTTTGGGGAGAAGCGGTTTTAAAAAGCCAAATACTCGGAAGTTCCTTCTCTCGTCCCATCAGAGAGAATTCCTTTAAGAGGCTCTGAGTGTCCACTCTTCCCGGGCTGTCATCTAGAAGCAGAATGAGAACTGGCCCTTGGAAACAGTCATTTCTCACCAAGACCAGAGAGTGGCGGAAGGGTGGGGGTGGGGGTGGGGGGCCGACAAATCACAAAGAGGTGACGCCACATCTGTCGGGCTCTGGGGTTCTCTTGTCAGGAGTAGGATCTGAGCATGGACCAAATGAGGACCTGCTCCCAGCAGGAGAACCAGGGGAGATGAACCCGGCCTCCCACCACCTTTATCAACTCCGAGCCACGACTTCTGAAGCATGGGGGAAGCCATGGAGCAACTAGCTAATGCTCTGATTTACAGATGAGGATGCCAAGGCCCGGTGAGGAGTCTCACACAAGGTCACAGTTTCTGGCAAAAAGAGGGGAGAAAAAAAAAAAAAGGTAAAGAACAGCCATCCCTGTCCAGGTCATTGGCTAATGGGGCAGATGCTCAGTTGTCCCTGGTATTCTCAGGTCCAGGGACCCTTCCTGGCATCAGTATGGACTTGCTGGCAGGCCCTGTCCCTGTTGGCTAGTGTCCAGCCAGAGCCGGTTTCTCCAAAGCAACACTCATGCTTTTCAAGGAGCACCTGCTGAGACAGACTAGGCCGCAGTCTCTCACTCACAGGGCTTTTCTTACAGGCACAGCCAGGCTGGGCCGCAGAAGCCCACACTCAGGGTTGGGGGAGGGGAGATGCTTTGCTACATTAAAGATTAAGCCCTTTGTCAGAGAACAAGGACCTTCCCTTGGGCATGTGTTTGTCCAGCTCCACCGACAGACAGAGCTGGTGCCCAAGGAGGCCAAGTTGCTCTCTTTGGCATCACTGACATTGCTCTGAGATGCTCAGGCACTCTCAAAATGACCCTTTCCCAGCCAGGCCAGGCTGATCTGGCCACCATCGAGCCACACCTGATTGGATGGGGCTCCCCTGCTCTCTGATGGTGGTTAATCTCCCCAGCCTCTTTGGACCTGGGCTAGAAGCAGAGCAGACTGGAGGGAGAAGGCAGGGAAAGGGTCTACATTTCCATCTCCTCTCTGATCATCCAGCGGAAGATGATGCAGGAGAGGGGGCACATTCAAAAGAATGTCTATGTGTCAGGACATTGGAGACAACTGAGGAGCAGGAGAGAAGAGGTGGTAGGGAAGCAGGCCTCTTCTGGTCTACCTCCCTGTGGCCACTACAGAAATGCTGCTGGACAAGCTTTCAGGCCCCACCTGAAGTACCGCATCTCCCCACACTGTGGAGAGCAACCTCGGTTAAAGGCAGCGACTTCTTAAAAGAGTTTGCACAGTGCTGGATGCAATCGGAGAAATGCAGAAGAGCAGCCTTGCTGGGGCGCCACTGCTTCCTAGGGCGGGAGTGATGGAGAACATGAGGTATCAGGAGCTCTGGGTCCCCGGGGAAGCAGAACCTGCAGTGTGAGGCCCCTGGCTATGACAGGGCTCCTGGGAACACAGTTGAGGATTGTGCTACATTTCATTTCCAAAGAAATGCCCTGGGAGGGCTCAATTGTCTTTAAAAAAACAAAACAAAACAACAAAACAGAGGCTGCTGGTCTCCCCCAGGCTGGCAGTAAAGGAAGAGCTGGCATGCTTCCGTGGTGGTGGTGGTGGTGGGGGGGGGTCGAGCCCCTGGGAGAGTTAGCTTGACCCCAGTGCAGGACCACCAGGCACCACCTCCCTGCCTCTCCAGAGCCTTCCTTGGTCTTCCCTCTACCCAATGGCATGCTGGCACTGCCCAGGACCCGCTGAATAGGTGATCCTCGGTAGAGCTGGGTGGGAGGAGAGACTGGATGAGAGCCTTTGGGACGGATTCTTCCCCCAAAGGACCAAATATCCCTTTGTCAAACCAAGCCTTGGCCCATTTCCTAGAGAACGTTTCCCATCACAGAGTCCCATCTCTGCCTTCCTTGTAGGGAAGGAATCTGTTAAAAAGTGGGACAGGCTGAGCAGGGCAGAAATACAGAGACACATGCTCTGAGTCATCCATCGCTGCCCACAGCCCAGCATCGCTCGCTCGCTCGCTCGCTCGCTCGCTGCAGGGTCACTCCTGTCTCAGCCACAGTGCCGATGAATCCGGCCTGCCTAGAGGAGATGGGACAGCTGAGTTCCTTCCACTCCTGTGACCACTGCCGCCTGGGGCAAGGGGTTAGGTGAGGTGGCCCGCTGGTAAGGGGACTCACAAGGACCCAGTTACTTCTTGGCCCATTGTCCTTTCCTCAAAGGGCAGATGGCTCCCAGCCCAGGCAAGTCACACGCCTCTTCTGAGACAGGGCTATCTCTAGAATGGCATCCCAGTGGAGCCCTGCAGGCAGGATGCTGAGAAACAGACCTTTAAATCCAGCCGCTCTATCACATGGACATACTGGCCTTACACACCCCACATGTGTGCACAAGAATCTAGGTGGGATTACTTCTTCAGTGTTAAAAGGAGTGAATTCCTAAAGATCAATGGGGTGGGGGCGGGGGTTACCTTCCATGAGAGGGGTGGGACAGCCAAGCCATCTCCTAGGCAGTTTACAGCCTCCGACTGTAGGCAGGCAGGTCAGCAGGAGTTCCCAGCACATGGTCATCCCCTGTGCTAAGCCTCCTAAATGAGAAACTCCAAGGCCGGAAGCCCCTCTGCTGGCAGCTCCCACTTCTGGAGGTGACTCAGTGCTACCTCAGCAAAGGTCTGTGCTGTCAGTGGGTTACTGAGCCTCCTCCACTCCAGATGGCTTTCACACCACCCAGAGGACAACTGCTTTACAGGTGCGCACGCCACAGGCAAGAGGAAAACCACCTTTGCAAGCCAGTTTCCTCCTTGCCCCCTACCCGTTAAGGCTCGGAGGCCAGAGCACTTCGCCTCGTGTCTAGTGACGAGGGAGATGCATATACTCCCAGCCAGCAAGGCTGGCAAGAGAACGTCCCTGGCCACTACCTCACTCACCCGCCTGCGCAGACATCCTCAGTCCTGTTCACTGTCTTCCGCCTCAACCCCAGTTTGTGTGGGGGGCTTCTTCCCTATCCTTCTTTGCAAGGAGGGTGCAGGACTCTGACTACAGGGAGGTCTTTTGGGCTGGGCTGGCTTTATGTACCCCAGCTTTGGTACAAAGGGAATTCACACACAGGCCAAGGATTTTTCACAGTTACCCTGGTAGCTCTCCCTGCCTAGGGACTTGGGCTAGAGGCATGGCCACACTTGGAGATGGGCTAGAAGAGAGGCAGAAAGAGAGCCTTCCCCTACCCTACCCTACCCCCACCACCCCTCCTCCTTCCTATTGGACACGGACCAGGGCTGCTTTGCCATCTCCCAGGCAGCCTCCAATTCCACCCTATAGCTGAAGAGGAGAGGAACGGGTACAGCGTTCCAGAGCTAGCCTTTAGTATTAACAGCCACCCCAGGCTCAAGCCCAGGCACTAGTCCCTCCAACAGGGTTCTCAGTGGTTAGGAGGAGCCCCAACCGGACAAGGGAACGGGGTAGTAAAGCAGAGGCAGCTGGGGTGCCTAGTGCAGGCCACTGCCCAGAGGAGCAGAGGGCCATTCAAGAAAGGCAGGGAGGTGAGGGGTAAGTATTGCTGGTACAGAGCTGGTGACAGAGGCACCCTCGAGTGCAGAGCCAGGCTGCTCATGGAGCTAGGAGGCTGGAGTCCTGGGGTGTCAGAGCCCCAGCTGGGGACGGGTGTCTAGAGATGAGCAAAGAAAGCAGAACCCTGGAAGAACGCTTCATGCGGCTAATCCCCAGGCCAGACAGGGTTCTTGACAGTGGCTCAAAACAATTCAGCCTTAGCCCTCCTGACTTCAGCAAGCAGCCCTACCCATGACACCTCTTACCAAGCCATGCTCCCTCAAGGATAAGCCCAAAAGGGGTCAGGCCCATCTTTGATGCCTGAGAAGGCCATCTGATTTGACAGACCCCCCCCCCCCGGTACACTGGGGGGGGGGTGTCCTTTGGCATGCTGGAGCGTACTCCAACAGAGGGGAGGACAGGGCATAGCACGGCCTTCAGTGTGTCTGGCCAGCACCCTGGAACTCAGCTCTCCGGCACTTGGCCTGTAAGAAGGTGCCAGCCCCAGGGAGAAACATTCTCAAGGCCCCTCCTTCCCAGCTATCCTGTCTTCCTGGGGTCTGGGCCAGGGCAATGAGTGAGCATGCCACATGCTTGTGGAGTGCATTCAATGGGATGATGACCAGCACAGCCGGGGTTGGGAGAAGAGACTGGATTCCTAGAGGGCACCAGGTATGGTCGGCTGCAATGGATGCTACATTCCTCAAAAAAGAGCAGCAATGCTGGGGGAGGAAGGAAACAAAAGACAGGACAGGAAACCAAGTGGAGACCAGAGACAAGAACCAGGCTTGCGACTAAGCAGGGCCCACCAGTGGCCACATGCCCTACTTCCACCCCTGGAGACTCCAGGGACGAGATGTGTCCACGTGATGTTCCTTTGGATTCTTTCCAGCAAGATACAGAGGTGTGGACTGCAGTCCATGTGGTCACCAGGACTGACTGTACCCAGACAAATGGACAGATATAATGTGGTCACACACGCACACACACACACAGACACACAAACACACACTACAGTCTCCACTGCCAGCCGGGACGAGCCCAGCGGCCAACAGGCATGCAGCAGGGCGAGGGGTCCAGAAAGACATGGAGACTATGTACAGGGGGGCGGTGTGGCCAGCAGGCTCCCTTCCCCCTCCAGCCCCTGGCCTCTTGTCCTCAGGGAGGTCCTTAGGAGCACGAGGGGGAGGGGCTGGTGGCACTCTCCAAAGAGGACTGGGACAGGCGCCTGGTAAGGGATCCGAGTGTGGAGTCAGCCACAGAGGATGTGGGGAAGAGTTTGTACCAGCCCGTGACAGCGGCACTTAGGTCCAACTCGTCCAGCATGATCTGGGCCATACCCATGAAGCACTTGTGGTCCATACGGCCGTAGTCTCCCCAGACGATCACCTGGCAGAAGGGAGGGGAAGGGGGAGGCACTGAACCTCCAGGACTGGGCAGTGGGCCCAGGACCTACCAGCTTCCCGCGGGCACAGATGGGAGAGTCGGAATTAAAAAACAATACGGGCATGTGCTTTCTGAGCACCTGGGACATGGCAGACTGTACCCTATGGGGGCCATGCACCATCTCAACTGTTGTAACGAGTACTTTTCCCCTCTGTGGCTCAGGGGGTTAACTAACCAACACAATGCCCCACAGTGATCTGGGATTAGATCCTGGGTGCATCTGGTTCCAGACCTCCTCCCAGCAACCCCAGGCAGCAGCTCTGTCCACAAAGGAACAGACATGTTCAGGGCCTGGGTCATAGCTGCAGCCTGGCTGCTGGCTGCTGTGGGCCTGAATAAGCCCCTTGCCCTGACTGTCTCCATCTGGAATTCGAGGAGGAAGAGATTGGCTCAATGAGTTTTCAAATATTTTTAAAAAAACAGACATCTGATACTGGGCCTCTGCCCCAGAATCCCGGAGTTCTGCAGCACTTGGGTTTGTAACCCCATGGGGCCCTTACGACAGAACCCCATCACAGCTCAGAGGAACAGCCTGCTATGAGATGGACAAGCTGGAGGATTAAAAACATCAGAGGTGGATTCCTGAAAGGGATTACGGGATTCGAGGCTCTTCCTCGGCTTTCCAAGTGCCCCGAGGTGAGCAGCTGTCTCCACAGCCCCAACGGGCAGTGGACTTGAGTCTCCAAACCTCACCCAGAATAATCTTTTCTCCTTTAAAATGAATCTTGGGTGTTGGTTACAAATAAGCAAGCCAGGCTTCAGACAAGGCAAGCCACCACTACTTTTAACTTGGTGAGTGTCTGCCTATGTGCAAACTCTTAAACGTTTTTAAAAATATGTTATGTGCAAGCATAAACATGAGTCAAGGTTCCCACAGGGGCCAGAGGCACTGGGACCTCCTGGAGCTGGGGCTAGAGGCAGTTGTGAGTCACCCTGACATCTGTGACAGGAACTGTCTTCTACAATAGTGGTGCATGCTCTTAACCTCTGGGCCATCTCTTCTCCGCACATCCTAACCACAATGAGTGTCAGGCAGGGACTGAGCCCAGAAAGTCAGGGAGGCCCCTGTGAACTCAGGTTCATCTACTGAAGGGGCACAATGAGGCAACACCCCACCCTCAGGCTCATCAGGAAAAGCCACTGATACATTGTTTCGTTCTCAAGGAGCTGGCTGGCCTGAGAGTCACCCAGACTTGGGCTCAGTTCTGCTCGTCACTCAGCTGAGCAGGCCCTTCATCTTTCTGAGACCCCGCCTCCTCATTTGCAAAATGGGGAAACCACACCTCCTTCCCAGGATCACCTCTGAGGAAGACATAAATCGTTCCAGAAAGTGCCTAGCAACACCCAGCACCCAGTGAGGGACAAGGCACAGGTAGGAAAGGTAGGAAAATGGAGACGGCCAGCGAATAAGGCCTGGTTCTCCTGCCCAGCTGGGAGAATGGGGAGCTATTTCACTATCGCTCAAAACCCTATGAATTGTTGGGGAGCAAAAGCATGGGCTGTGAAATTAAAACACAGAGGGGAACAGGAAGAGGGAGGGAAGAAAGTGGGGGGAGAAAGAAAAAAGGGGACTGGAGAGATGGCCCAGCAGGTGAAGTGCTTTCCACAGAAGCTGAAGGACCTCAGTTCAATCCCCGGAAGCCACGTCAAGGCAAAGGAGAATTGACTCCACTCTACATGTGTGCCTCCCAAATGCACGTGCACCCACCCCCTACCATGATAAAGAAGAGGCGATGTAAACGAATGCACCTGGTTCAATGCTTGACCTGAACTTGAGCGTCTACCCTGTAAACACTGACCTGCAGAACCTTGCCTTGGGGCCCCTCGTCAAAGAGCAGAGCCTGCTGGTACAAGGGATCACAAGTCTTCTTGGCCACCTTCGTTTTTTTCTTGGCTACACATGCCCCGTTCTCCAGCAGGTAAGCCTTGATATAGGTGGCTGAAAATGAAGGCACATGGTTGGGAGAGATGCCATAGCCTGCCCCCACCCTCCAGGTGGTTCTGGTGGGGGGTGGGATGAGCTGGCCCAGCTTGCTCACCAACCTTCCATCCAGGCAAGGTGTGGCTCACTGTCCACAGCACTGCTTTAGGGCACTGGTGAGCTGAGGACTTGCTTGCTAGTACCCCATCCCTGCCAAGACCCTTCCTCACCTCTCCCAGCTGCGCAGCCTCACCTGGGAGGGATTTGGAGCCTGGTTTGGGGGTCAGGCCCCGAGCTTCAATCACTTCCACCTCCAACTGGCCGCTCCGGTCCATGATGGCAATGTGCACGTCTCCTGCAAGGGAAAAGAACGGAAGTCCAGGTGAAGTCAGATGGGGCAGGCTGGAAGATGAACCGGAGACCACCACCCTGCGGGGGATGCTGCGGGGGGGTCCCTGGAAAGGGACTGTGACAGAGCAAGCTGCACATGTTGAAACTGCTCTCAAGAGATCACTTCAAAGGGACTAAGAAACACTGTGATAGGCTGTGGGGGAATGACCCTCAAGGGACACATGCTCAGGTCATAACTAAGGGCTACCAAACCCTTACCTATGTCTGGTAGACTAGGGGCTTCTGCTTCGCTACACAGAACAGGCAAGTCTGGGAGGCAGACCTACGCAGCAGCCCTCAGCCAGTCTCTTTATTATATGTCAGACAGATACCAAGACAGTATCCACGCAAAGAGACGCTAAGCTATGAGCCTGCCCAGGACATCTTTGACCCTGGACAAAGGGAGTAGGGTGGGTCCCCATCACCTGCGTGTGAAAGCCAAGAGCTCATAACTTACTCCAAAAAGGTATGGGCTTCAGTCATGCTGACTTTCAGGAGCTCTTAGCTTTGCTCATTGTGGGGGAGCTAAGTTTAGAACTACATAGTAGTTGTTTGGAACACTCTTCAAATGGGTGTAGAATTATAAACTTGATCTCCACCCCCCCAAAAGAAAATTAAATGAGTTAGAAAAATTAAACATCATCGCCATCATGTTATTATTGGCATTTATATACTTTTGGGGCAGGAATTCACCACATTCAGAGACACCCTGAAATTTATCCTCCTCCTTCCAGTGATTCCCGACCTTGGCAAGGAGACCAAATGGTCTCAATCTATCACAACATGCCTAACCGGGAATGTACACTTGTCTTTCCTGGTTTGGAACACAAGGGGGCACCACACACAAAATATTCTAGGTTCTGGTGGGTCAGTAAAGATTATGGAAGTGGCTGGCACTTCTTGGTGTGTGTAGGGATAAGGGATCGGGATAATGAGCAGGCTCCAATACCAACCAAAATCTCAGAATTAAACAAATCCAATACCCAGGGCCAGAAGAGAGTGGACCTTGACTCTGAGGGTCTTGTGGACCCCTCTTCCAAGGAAGGAAGTGCCACATAAGAGTCCTAAACTGGCACAAAATCCCAGCTCCACTGTCTGCATTCGCTTCCCTCTTCTGCTGTGAGGGTCAAAGGTCAAGAACCATCAGGATGGGGTTGAGTAGAGACATCTGGATCAGGCAAAGCTCAGGCCAGACTGACGGGGAAGCCTGCCTGAACATGGGGAGGGGAAGGCTTGAGAGCGGCTAAGAGGACCCGATGTGGGCTTTGAGAAGAGCTTCCTAGCTGCCAGAAAGAGAGATGAGAAAATTACTAAAGGTCCCTCGGTGCCAGACGCTGTTGGGAGTAACAAGTCCAATTAGGCACAGTTCCTAAGGAGAACACTAAAATGCTTTATAGAAAGTATCTAGCAGGAGCTCAGAAAGGGTGGTGAGGCTGGAGAACTAAAGCAGGAATTACTGATTCCATTTTCCCGATGAGGAAACCGAGGCTCAGAGAAGGGTCGTGACTTACTTGTCCAAGGTCAGAGAAGGTAAATCAACAGAAGCCAACAGTGTCTACACAGCAGGAGAGGGTGACTGTGGGCGGAGGTGGGGAGGGAGGGGGCGGCGTAGGGGCGGTCTGGAGAAACTGCTGCTGAACAGTGAGGAGAGGAAGGCTGGGACCCCGGCCCCTCCTGCTGCCTGCCCTACTGTGCACAGGCCCCCACTGCTGTGCCCCCCCCCCTTGTCCTTCTTCCAAGACTTACCCATGGGGGGTGTGGCCAATGTTTGTCGCCCCACAATCTGGGCTGGTCCCAGGCCATCCAGAAAATCACTGAACTGGCTTTCAGCTCCAAGCCGTGTGGGGAAAATAAACCTGCAGAAGGAAGCAGAGGGCACGTGAGGGTAGCAGGGGGGTGAGCAGTGGGTATGGATGCAGAGGCCTGCATCCGGGGAGCTGTGCCTCCGTTTCTCGCCTGTATACTGTGACTAGATTACTCTAACTGGGAGTGAACACCTGTTCATTTCTGCATGTTGAAGAAAAATACTTCAGGCTTCGTGTTTTAGACAGTCCTGTACTTCTGGCTAACCGAGAATTCACTATGTAGCCCAGGCTGGCCCCAGATTCACGACAATCCTCCTGGCTTAGCCTCCCAAGTGGGTAACAAGCAGGTCCCACAGTGTCTGGCATGGAAAATGATACTTTAATATTATTAAATAGACTAATGAAGATATTTAAGGCATTAGATCCTTATTTTTATTATTTATTTCTTGAGACAAAGACTTGTGCATCGCAAGCTGGCTTCAGACTCATGATGTAGCCAAGGTTGGCCTGGAATTCCTGATCATCATACCTCTGCCTTCTGGGATTACAGGCATGTACCAGTATACCCAGTTTATGGAGTGCTAGGGACAGACACCAGAGCTTCATGCTTGCTGGACGGACATGCTACCAACTGAGCTGCATCCCAGCCCAAGCCCCGAGATTTCTGAAGTGATCGTTAGAGGGCAGGGCATGCTCATGAGAGCATGCCAAAGTCAAGAATGAGAGACAAGTTAGAGGGACTCTTACTGCCTGGAATAAGTTCCAAGAGCTGAGGTTTGATTTTTTTTTTTTAAACCAGAAATTTAAAATCCAAATCAATAAGGTGAGGTGGTTCTCAAAACGGCAGCTGAGACCAAAATAACCTAACGATGAGGTTGAGATGAATGGCAGGTGATTGTGGGTGGTCCGTGACTGGAGGGGAGGGGGCTGGAAATAGTAACAAGACAAACTGACAGTGATTGAAAGCGGGCCAGCCGCCAGCAGTGCATCGAGCGTTCCACGTGCCTTACATCATTAATCCTTACAACCGGGCTGTGTGGTAGGAACCATTATCCAATTTCACAGATGAAACAGACGTTTCCAAGAGGTAAGAGACTGGCCTTGTCTGCAAGAGGGTGACACCTGGCTCACCGGGGGATGGTGTGGGGGAAACGGTCTAGACACATGAGGTACAACAAATGGCAATGAATTTTGCTTCTGCCTCTGCGGCTGCCATCATGTCCTCAGCCCCAGATGTTCTGGGTACGGCCAACAGGGACAGCTTGCTCAGGGGCCACAGTGAACTCGAATATGCAGATCTTTTAGTGGCAGCCATGAGATCTTTTAGCGGGTCAGAGAAGAATCCCTGTTGGGCAGTTTGGAGTAGGGGCTCCAGTGGTTAGTGGTGGGCAGGGGGAGCAATAGGTCTGTGGGACAGAACCTGCATTTCTCTTACAAGGCTCATCTTCCACCCTTAGGAAGAGGCTTCAAGGCATCTACTTTTATTAATTGTGATCAACAATAGCCTAGCGTCATTCTTTTTTGTATTAGGGTGGGTACATATGTATTCTTTGTGTGTGTGTGTGTGTGTCTGTGTGTTTTCAAGAGCCAGAGGTCATCATTAGGTGTCTTCCTCGATCACTTTCTATCTTATTGGTTTAGACAATCTTTCACTGAACCTGGAGTTTGTAGATTTGGAGAGACTGGCTGTTAGCAAGTGCTAGGGATCCTCCTGCCTCTGTCTCCGCAATAATGGGGCTATAGGCATGTGCACAATTACATCCAGCCTTTCTACATGGGTGCTGGAGCCCCCTATTGGGTTCTCATGCATGTACAGCAAGCATTTCACTGACTGAGCCATCTCCCTCTCGTTTCTTGGCCTTCCTCCTCCTCCTCTCTCCACCCACCCCTCTTTCATTGACACAATGCCTCTTGTAGTCCAGGCCGGTTTGGAACTCACAATGTAGTTAAGTCTCTGACCTTAAACTCTTGGTCCTGCCTCCACTTCTCAAGTGCTGGATTTATAGGTGTGCACCACCCCACCCAGCCCTGGTGTCACATTCTTATGACAATGAGACCTCAGAAGAAAAAAAAGAGATGTAGATTCAAGGTCTCAGAACTGGGGCGCATGGGGTGTGTATGTGACTGGTATACGGTGTGGAGATTATGAATAAAGGTTATGGAATCAAGTGACCTTAGTGTAAACAGTGGCCTGTGTCTTAAGAATTGTGCTTGTGGGTAAAGAGCCTCTGCCATTCAGTAGCTTCGGTTCCCTCGTTGTACATGGAGACATGGTTTCCAAATTCACTCAGGTTGGGCACAAGTGTTAAATGATCATAGCACATGGCTTTGAGAGGGGGTCACTAGCCTAAGGTACCCATCAACGCTCCGTACAAGGCAGGAGGTAGTAAATGCTAATGGCTACTTGTTTCCATGTTAGAAGGTACAGTTGGCCACCTGTATCTACGGGTTTTGCATCTGTGGATTCAAGCAACCACAGATTGAAAGTATGAAGAAAAGGGTTGTCTGTACTGAGCACAGATTTTTTTTTTTATCATTATTCCTTAAACAATGCAGTCTAGGCTGGGAATTGGGGCGCACACCTATAATACCAGTGCTTAGGAGGCTGAGGCAGGAGGATTCTGAATTGAAGGCCAGCCTGAGCTTTATAGTGAGACCTATATAACAAGTATCACTATTGCATTTCGCTTTGGCTGGGTGTTACAGGTGATCAAAAGAGGACCTGATCACACAGGAGGATGGGTACAGCAGTATGGGACACCGTACCAGTCAGTGTACTGAAGGGATTCAAGAAGCTGTGGGATTTAGATCCATGGGAGGTCTTGGAACCAGTCCCACAGGGATGCCAAAGGTTCCCTGTACAGGAGTAAGGACAGTCATTGAATACTAAAGAAGCCACAGGATCCTGAGACTGAAAATTATAGGGCCTTGATGAAAGAGAAGCAGAGAATCTACCAACTCCGATCCAGAACAGATCTGGAGGGCATCTAAGCAGTGACTGTCAAATGCTCGCTCCAAATCACAGGCAAAAAGAAACGGGCTGCCAACACCGCGGCCCACTGCTGACCTATGCCGTCCGGAAAGAACCCTGCTGCACAGGCTACACCTGTGTCTTCTAGTTCTTTCTCTAATGCTGCTTTTGACCCACTACAGCGATCTTACTTCCTGCCTATGAGTCACAAGGTAAGATGTGACTGTTCTAAAAACATGGATCTAGTCCAATTTTCTTCCTTAATCTCCAAGCAAGGTGATTTATAAAGATTTCACACAACTAAGCCATGAAAATGAGTCTAGGCTTAAAAGGAATTTAGGGTCACATTTTCCTTTCTGCTCATCTCCTCTGGAGCAGGGTCTAGGGTGGGAGATGGGAGGCAGGAAACCCAAGTCCCCTCCTGAAATAAAAGAACCAATGATGCGCTCCAGGTCCTCTGAGGTGTTCTATTGGGAGCCATGGGAAGACCTGGGCCCAGGGACCAGACAGCTGGAGAGGGGAAGGGGAAGCCGGGGCAGGGAGGTATGCAGACATCTTGGCTGGAAACCAAATTGGCAGGTGCACGCACGTGCCCTCGGAGCTGTTGCTGTTGGTGCTCCCATCGGTGGACTCCCGGCTGCCTTGGCGCGTGACCCGGCTCCGCATCTCCACCGCAATGCCAGTCTCCGTGCTCCGGCGGATGTTGCTGCGCAGCTTCTTAGTGGCCCCTTCTGGGGTCCCCAACCCAAGAAGAGAGAGGGAACAAGGTCAAAACATGGCGTAGGCTTCTCAAAGAGTGCTACCAAAGTGCTGCTCTGGACAGAGAAGCAGGCGGCATCTGCCGAGGCTGGGACACCACTGAGCTGAGCCCCCGGCCCAGCCCAGGGTAATGACACAGAGAAAGCTGCCCAGAGACGTGCTGCGTGCCCCCAGAGAAATGTAGCTGTCCTGCAGCCGAGGGGCCCTCCCCCTCCACTGGGTTCTCTTGACTCTGCCTTCCCGTTCTGTTCAGCCTCAGCCCCCAAACTTAAGAGCTGCTCCTTCCTCTCACTTCTGGAGAGTTTGTCTGTTCTGGGACTTCCAGATTTCCTTTCCCTCTTTTGGATTCCTACCAGACCCCAAACCCACCTCTCTGCTGCCCTAGAAAAGCCCCCATTGGAAGCCTGACCACTTGAAATTGGCCTTCTCAAGGTACGTCTAAGAAGGAGAGCATCACAACCGTCAAGCTGGACCTTGGAAGGCAAGACTGCAGGTGGATGGGGCGGCCAGCCTAACCTGACAAAGTTGGAGTTGAGAAGGTCCACAGCAGAGCCCGTCCCCTGTCTCTGCACCTTCTGTGCAGGGGCCCCCAGCCCCCTCCTCAGCCCTGCAGGAAACACAGGGCACTTTCCCTCTCTGAGTAGCACGCCAGCCTGCCTGGGTTTCCATGGCAACCTCCTTAGCATTGCAGTGTGGTCCCTCCAGACAGCTCTCCTCCTGGGCGGCGGGGGTGGGGAGGGGAGACAGGCTGGGGTTTTGCAGGGACTCCCCTGCTAAAGCTTGATTGCTGAGCAACTTGATGGGGAGGAAAGTGGCACTCAGACAGAGTCGGCACCAAAGGGGCCATTTGCTGCCACCAGTTACAGGCCCAAGAAAAGGGTTAGTTGAGTGGCCTGCAAGGGTGCCTAGGGCAGGGTAACAGCACATTTATCCCTGAAGGCAGCCAATAGTAGGCTGGGGAGAGGATGTTCACGTCCGCAGCTTGGGAAAAGGAGGCCTCTATTCTTCCTATTTTGCCCCACTTACCCTTCAGGAAGTCCCCACTGGATGAGAGAAGGTCAGGAGGGCAAACACCAGCAGATAAGGTGGTGGAGGGGAGGTGATGGGAACAGGGGCAACATACAGAAAGATGTGTTCTCTAGACTCAGCGCAAGCTATCGGAATAGCTAGCATATCTGGGAATCACTGACACTGACACACACACACACACACACACACACACACGTACACATGCACACACACAGAGTCATTTTAGTTCAGGCATATTTCTCTTACACATGCATAAGACAGACACACAGGAGTGCTGACTATCACATATATGAATACAATAACCTCATGTGTGATACCCTGTGTCTGTCTATACAAAGTCACACAGGCCCTCCGGGTCTTACATGGACACAGTGTACACTGTCAAACAGGTTATATATATATATATGAATGATCTTTAATACCTAGAATTGAGCCCATCTACTCACCACACATAATGATGTCCACCCACACATGGTATATGACCTACCATGGGACTCTCTCTGTCCCTGGCTCCTAAATGCCTCATCCCCTCTAACCCAGTTAGAAGACAGATGGCTGTGTGTGGGGGGGGTGGGACTGAAAGTCACCCTGCCTCCCCCTCACATCCTCACCCCCTCAACACACGCTCTTTTAGAGCCTGGGAAAGCTCTGGCCCATTTGGAAGTGAAATTACCTTCTTAGATAAGATTTGCCCAACCCAGTGTGAGCGTCCGTGAGTGGGAAATGTGCAGAATCCTGAAAGGTCAGAGATACTTCTCCAGGCCCTTCCACCATTTCACAGATGAAGAGTCCAGGGTTCTGATACCAAAGAGCTGGCTAGCCACCAGGCCCTCAGACTCCCTGCCTGACATGACACTTCCCCTTCTCGATGTTTCCTCTCTTGGAGGTGTGACTCAGCAGAGATTAAACTCCTGTGTATTCAGTGCTGGGAGAAAGGTCGTGCAAACTCAAGAGAGAAATCCCCCCACTGGCTTTGTTCCTGCCCAGCCTCGGCCCCTGCTGACCCAGGGAATAACTTTATGGTGTTTCTCTCTAGAGAACTGACTGGTCCATGTGGTTGCAATAATTCACTGTCCCTTGGAGAAAGATTCCAGGAGCCATTCTATCTGTCCCGTCACATACAAAAGAGGAGCCGTCATGGCCTGCAGCAATACTCTCTGTGGCTCAGGAGGGAAGGGCTCTGTCCTTGGTACTGGACATTTAGAAGTCTACTTCCACCAAGCATGACCCCCTGGCAGGCTCAGCTTAATTAATGCCAGGCCAGATTTTACTTAGGTCCTAGGACCCCAAAACTCTGACCTCACCCTTCATTGCTCCTACAATTTAGAGAACTGATAGATCTCAAAGGAAGTTGGGAGAGAGCATTGTTAGCTCCATTTTACAGAAGAGGAAACTGAGTCCCGACCAGAAAGTGACTTTTTGGCAATTCCATGGAGATCTACAAAGCCAGAACAGTCCCTCTAAAGCACAGGGTGAGATCTGGGAGGTCTGCAATAGGGCAAAATGATGACAAACTAGAGGAGTGCAGACAGGCAGGGGACTAGAGGGAGGATGATGTACGGACTAGACATTGCACTATGTGAACTGGGGCAAAGGAACCAAGAAGATCAAGGTGTCGATGAACTAGGAGGGTGGGGTTCTTGGGGGAAAAAAAAGATCTAGAGCTCCAAGGGCTAGGCCCAAGAGAGGAATTCTTCCTGACTCCCCACAGCCCAGCCCTACAGGGAATCAAGTCATTCCACGTGGGGCAACAGGGGCACCCTTCTGGGATCTTTTCTCAGCAGCAATCCCTGGTGAGTTGACCACATACTTGCCTGTAGTCCCAGAGTCTCCCAGCCAGGATGATGCTCCAAGCTGAGGCACTGGCATACTCAAAGCTTGCGTGCATGTTCTATGCACGCATGCAAACACACGTGCACACAATTAAAAATAATAAAAATAAATCTTTTTTTTTTTAATATCAACACTTTGCTGAGTGTCTCCCATGTGCCATTCATGAGAGGCTGGGTACCTTTGCACATCTATCATTTAATCCCTGGATAGATCTATAAAGCATATATTTTGTCTTCAACAAACAGCGGGCTCAGAGAAGGGAAGCAGCTTGCCTGAACTGTCCAGCTAGTAAATGTTGGGGTGTGGCTGCAAAGGCCAACCTGAGGTCATTCCCCAGGGAAGTGCCTTCTCCTCAGGCTCTGGAAGTCTCGTAGATAAATGAGTACATCAGACTGGATGACCTCGAGGGCCCTTCCTGCTATGACATTCAGTGATTAGATGATTCACAGGGACCTGCACTTGGAAAGGCATCTGGGCAATTCCCCTGGCCCCAGACCTTGGGCCTTTAGTCATGCCCTTACACACCACAAAGACAAGGCATCCAGAGGCCCCAGCATCATGTCTCTCCCCAAGGTAGCAGGTCTTCCTGGCATCTGCTCCCATCCAGCCTGCTGCTGTCTGAAGCAACAGCAGATCCCGCAATGACTCCCAGTGACTCAGGCCTTGGAGACTGTCTCTCCCAGTCACTTTGCATACAAGACATCTCTGGGTCTGGAGCTGGATTCCTGTGCTTGTACTACCAGACACAGACCTCTAGGTTCCAACACCTGCAGGACATTTTTTTTTTTTTTGGCTTTTCAAGACAGGGTCTCTCTGTGTAGTTTTGGTGCCTGCCCTGGATCACTCTGTAGACCAGGCTGGCCTTGAACTCACAGAGATCAGCCTGGCTCTGCCTCCCGAGTGCTGGGACTAAAGGCGTGCGCCACCACCGCCCGGCTCCTCCAGCACCTTCTAATCTTAATCCCCCCCAGGTTGGTTCTATTCCAGCCCTCCTTATCCCAGTCCAACTCCCCATCTTCCTGCTCTCTACTCTCAAGTCTACACTGCCCAGCCAAAGGTACTAATGACCTCAAGACCCTCCCCATCTAGTCTTTCCCTGAGCAGAAAGCACACAGGAGCCTGAGCGCTGGAAAAGACCATCCCCCGTGTTCCTGTAGACAGCTTTGTAAAAATCTATTTTAAGGTCTGGAGAAGCACCCCCAAATACCAGCCCCAATGGGGCGTCTTGATGAGCATCCTCCCTGGATGCTCCAGCATTCTACCCTTCCCCACCCCCGTCCAGCTGCCTACTTGAAGGTTTTTGGGGGAAGTTGTTACTCTGAGCAAAATAAGCAGGAAGAGATTTTAAAACAAAGCCAGCTGGTGTCTGGACCAATGCCACAAATGGAGGTCCGGGTAGGGAGGTCTGGTTCCTCTGTGATGTGGGGGCCACATGTGGCTGTGTGAGACAAGGTGGGGTCCCCCCCCCAAGTCTGAACATAACTGGAATTCTGTAGCCAGATGTCTGAAGATACATACCCTATATATGAGGATGTATCGGCTAAGGCATATGTGTAGCTTGGTGAGGCGCATGTGCATCTAAGTGATGTGGGTCTTTTTTGTCTGTGTTCAGAGAACCGTATTTAGAGTTTATTTGCAACCACGGACAGTGTAATGAGAATAACTGGACCATGCTTTCCTGGCAGTATAAGTGGCTTGTCTGAGCAAATGAACACTCTGGATCTGTCACTGCAGGAGCCATGTATTTGTGTCTCTCTTTTGTGACTTTGCGATACCTATGTGTGACTATGCAACTGTATTTGTGGGGCTATCTGTCCTTAGGGGACTGAGAGATGACAACTAGGACAAGATTGTGAGGATGTCCATCTAGAAAAGAGTGGGGTTCCTTGGCTGTTTCAAACAACGTCTGATAAATGCACCAGTCAGTATGTGGAGGGGGCAGCATGTACAGAGCCGGAACTAAGGAGGGACAATAGGGCTTGAGTCTGGACTCCACCACCCGAAGCTGTGCAGTCTGGAGCACCTGACTGTCCCTCTGGTTTGTCCCTGCCTGCCAGTGAGGACTACAGAATGTCACGCACACCCGCCCATAAAGCACCCACACAAAGTGTGCATCTACTGGACTCAACAACACCCCACTCCCCTCCTCCTCGCCGCCCCCTTCCCCCCTTCCTGGTGCCCACACCCCTCACCAGGCTGGGGGAGCTGCAGCGTGCTTTTGCTCCACTGGGTCAGGCCGACGATAGCCACCATCTTGGCCCCCAGGCTGCTGCGTCGTTTCTTGGCTGTGGTGGTCCCGGGGCCACCCCCAGCTTGCTGGGACCCGCAGATCTCGCCGCTGATGCTGGAGCTCCGTACCACGTTCCTAGAGGCCCCAGCTGAGGCTGGACCAGGCTCCCCGTTAAACATGGTCCTCAGGGCGGCAGGGCTTCAGGCAGTTCTGAAGGTGAGCGGGAGAAGAGGGTGGTCCACATCACATCCCTGTGACTCTCCTGATACTCCACCACTTCCTAGCTGTGTGACTTTGGGTCATTCACTAGGTCTCTCTGAGGTGGTAAGGATGAAATGAACGAATAATAAATCTCCAAGTCTGAGTCAATAAAACGTGGGCACCGTCACTTGGCCTGTGCGTATGAGGCCTGGGATGTGAACCCACCCCAACCCCTCAACCCCCCCTCCCAGCCTTGCAACAATCAGAAGCAAGGCCTGGGACCTGGCTCTGAGGGTAAGGTGCTTGCTGCCAAGCCTGACCTCAGTTCTCCTCCTGGAACTCACATAGTCCCGGGGATCTCAACTGCCAAAAGCTGACCTCTAACCTTCCCACACAAACTGTGGCACATGCGCACTACCCCCCCCCCACTAAATAAATAAATGTAATTTAAAAATTGTAATATACCAAATAAGACAACGAAACCCCTAGAGAACAAAAATGGAACTTTTAGAGCCTGGCTCTGGACAAGCAGCAGACGACTTCGTTTGGCAGTCGAGACAGGCTTGGGGTGGAACTCCAAAGGCTTCCATCCACTAGCTGGGTAACTGTGTGACCAGACATGTTGGAGTCTCCACAAATGCCTTAGCAAAACAACAACAACAAAGCCATCGAAGCCTTTGTACTCCACAGGATGGCTTTAAGGATTAAATTAGGGACTGTGCATAAAATGTAAAGGACAATGCCAAGGCAGGTCGGGCTCACAGTGAGTGACAAGAGCAGGAACAGAAGTCTGTGCGGAGAGGGGCAGAAGGAGCTGGCCCAGAAAAGCCTAATGTGAAGTCGAAAATCACAGTCCCCTATACTTCAGACAGACCTCACTGTCAACATCTAACCCAGCTCTGTTCTGTGCTTTTAAAAAATAATTGGACTCATACCGTAAATATGATTTTAAATTCTGGGATTTTTCATCCAACATCACATCGTAGCATTTCCCAATGTCATTAACACTTTGGATAAACGTTTTAATGCCACTGTAATCGTCCCTTGTACAGACGGCACATAATTGACTTAAATATTTCAATGCAGTTACCTCCTGAATCTGATCCAAGTTTCTCGCTCCTCTCTTTTAAAAACACTGAAGCCAGGCGTGGCGCTTCACGCCTGTGACTCCAGCACTTGGGAGGTGGAGGCAGGAGGATCAGGAGTTCAAGGTCACCAGATTCGGCCACCTGAGATCCTGTCTCAAAACAAGCAAACACTGAGATGAACATCTTTCTGGACTGGTTATGATTTCCTTAGAAACGGATTGGCGGGTGACGGGGGGGGGGGGGTGAGAATGACGGGAGTATCCCAAATTCCTAGCCGCCATCCCCTCTCCCCAGCTGGCTGGCAGACAATGGTTTTGGCCAGGTGCTACCCTGTCTCGTTTCTGAGGCAGACACGGATTAGCTTAAGGTCACTGGTGAATGGCTTTCTCCTCAGCAAGTCATTTGTTCGGGAGCAGGGCATCTGACCAATGCTCAAACAGCTCACCTTAGGAGTGAGTGGCGGAGGGAGCAGGTCTCTACCTCCCAATCCATGCCCCTCCTGCTACAGCCCAAATGCAGGCCGAGGCCAGTGATGCTGAGGACCATAGCACACAGCATGGAGAACACTGGGCCATACCTGGAGCCTGCTTTTCTCTGGTATTCAGTTCACAAAGAATGTGTTTTCTATTGCTTAAGCCAGTGTGAATCAGTGTTCTCCGTTATATCTAAAAGCATTCTGCCTGATATTAGGGATTTAAAAAAAAAAAAAAATTCTTGGATTATATTGCCAAATCCCTTTCCAAAGTATAAAAATTTACTGTCCTCATTAACTGCATTCAACAAATGTTTAATTTCCTAAAATTCCAAGGCCAGGGCTGAGTGCCAGGGATGCAGCAGTGAGCCAGGTCCACTTGGTCCTGCCCTCCCAAGACCTCCAGTCCAGGAGGGGAGACAGACAGTAAATAACTAATTACACCATTAAATATTTAATGGTGGTTACGATAAGAGCCAGGGAAGAGGACAGAGAGCTCCGAGGACGCTCTGGGGGAGGGGATGGCCGGCGTCGGCGGCCCTGTCTTACACAGAGGCGGGGTCTCTGTGTGTTTGCATGTGTGGAGGCCACAGGCTGATGTCCGGAGTCTCCCTCAATCATCAGTCTCTGCCTTGTTTTCTAAGACAGGGTCTCTTACTGTGCGTGGAGCTCAGTCACTTGGCTAGACCCCAGCTGGGGATCTGAAACGCAGCCCTCATGTCTACACAGCACGTCCTTGAAGCACTGGCCCCTCTCTCCAGCCCCAGAACCGTCGTCTCCAGCTACAGCGTGCTATGGCTTGGCTGTTAGGTCCAAGGCCGCACCAGCTGGCTCTGCTCAGGCATAGTCAGAAAACCACCCCTTCATCCTCTGCACCCCTTTGTTCTATGTTGGCACCCAGTCTTCTCCTGGGCTAGCTGTGCATCCCCGGGATCAGGACGTTTTGCTTGAGGGAGTCTGACTTTTGAAAAGGATGTAGGAGATGGGAAGAGGAAGTGAAGGTGGAAAGGGGTGGCTTTTTTTCCGGCTGCCAAGGAAGACACAGTCCCCACACTGCTGAGAACGGCCACTCGTCCTGTCAGTGTGGCTCCTGCTAGACCAGTGTGGACTGAGGCTGAATAGAGGGGGTGAGTCAAGGCCTCCTTCTGCCTTCTTTGGGGCTCTGGGCTGCTTCCCCCTGGTGGTGGTGCAGAGTCTAGGGTTGTATTTCTCCATCCTCCACCAACCTCAGAGCTAATGGAAAGTCCCTGTGGCCTGTGATGATCTCTCCTGTTTAATTTCCATTTCTTGTGCCAGTCTGCGAGGGTTTGGGGGTATCTGTACAGTCTTCTGGTGGAAGATGGGACAGGGCTTATCTGATGGTGTGAATCTGCCACAGCGTGAGTCTAATTGGCCCGCTACAGTAGTTCCGAGAGGTGCCTCATTATCTCTTCAGGGCAGATGAGAACAGCAAGTCTCAGGGAAGCAGAAGACCGGCTTGTCCTACTCAGCTAGGAAGTGGCAAGGCTTGGCTTCCAACCCAGGTCTCCGGCATCTACAAAGAGGCCTACATGCTCGGTAGCCCCTACCCCTCAGTCCAGACCTCATCCAAAGGTGAGGGCCTACGCCTCCAGGGCAGGCGCCACCCTGAGTCTCTGGGTTCTTTGAGAAAACTGCAAGGCAAGTATCTATGATAAGAAAACCCTTTGTGACCCAACTTCCCCAAGCTGGTGAGAGCATTTAAGGGGAGAAACCCTAGACCACAGCTAGAAAAGCACATAGTTCCCTGGTGAGCCTCCAGGACACTTGAGGGGTGAGAAGGGACAGAATTCCAGACCCTGCCAACTTGGGAGCTCATGTTTCCTCATGAATAATAAACAGACTGACAAGCGGACTGACATCCAGGACTTTGTACCATATTGAGCCATGCTCTCATCTTCAAGTACCTGAAGACTGAGGAGTGCTTGGGTGACCCCAGCCTGCAGGCCACTCCCCAAGAAGGTAGGAGGAGCCAGACCCGAAGCAGTAGGCCTGAGGTCCTGGGCACAGAAACCTGGGAGGCTTGGGTATCGGGATGTGGATCAGAACATAAGTTGATTCCTCCTGTGTTCTTTTCTGGGTCTTGGTTTCCTCGTCTTTGTGTTAAATGGAAGGGGTCAAATTCGGTGCTCTGGAAAAGTCCTTTTGTCCAGGGAGCTGAGTCTGAGACCATATGCTTTGGTGGAAGGCTCAGAACTGGGATTCTTGGGGCTGAGTTATAACTCAGCCAGTAGGGTGCTTGTCTAGCTGGCACACCTGTAACCGCAGCACTGGGGGAGTAGAGACAGTAGGGCCGAAGTTCAAGGTCATCCTTGGTTACATAATGAGTTCAGAGCCAGCCTGGTTTACATCAGACCCGGTTGCAAAACAAGGGGGGGATGATGGGCAGAGGACAACAACAATAACCATGTCTCTAAGTCCTCTCTGCAGGGATGCCAGAGGCACAGGGATCAATCACACTGAGCCCCAGAGGAAGGAAGTTCAGTGCACAGCAGCCCAGAGCCGTCAGATCACAGGGACGTGGAAGGGGAGGTAGCAGAGACATGAGAGAGTGAGAACCCGGAACACAGCATGCCACATACTGAGGACTCAAATGATTGCCGAGTGAACGACATAATGTCCTTTCCGGGAAGGTCACATCACATTGCCCTGCTCGAGCAGGACCCTTTCCCTGACCAGTTCCTGACACATCAAGGTAGTGATCCTCTTGTGATGCCCTGAGTTACAGAACCCTCACTTGGCAGGGCTCTGTGCTGACTCCCACCCACTACACAGGGGCAGAGGAAATGATTCCGACGTGTCCTTGGGAGACACCCAGGGATGGGCCTGGTGTTTCCTTTTCTGCCCTCGGAGGGGACCCTCTACCTGGGGTCTTGCTACCCTAGGGACGCTACAATTCCTGGGGCAGGTCTCAAGGCCCTGCCAAGCCCCTCCACAGCCTTCCGTCCCTTGGACTATGTGACTGACAAGCCAAGCAGCTTTTCTTGGCAGTCAGTGAAGGACCCCAAAGCCCAAGATGAACTTAGCCACCCACTCTTACAAGGACCTCATCCCAGGGGTGCCTGCACTCTGAGGCTGGAGAGGCCAGCAAGTGAGTGAGGCTCATCCACCTTTCTCCATCATCTGCCTACAGCAGCATCACTTGTTCCCAGAGGCCAGACCGACCTCAGGCGCCCCTCAACAGTGCTCCGGCGCCAGCTCAGGAGAGGCAGCTCCTGAGTCCAAACTGACACATCCTCCCTACTCCTGCCTTTCAACTACAGAGGCGGAGATTGGAAAAGAGAGACACCCAAGGCTACAAGCCAACCCTAGTCTTCTAAACCCCAGGTTCCCATCCCATCCGGTCAGGGCGCCCTCCCTCTTCTCCTCCCTCCCACCTAGAGGAAAGAGAAGCTCACCGAGCTGATGAATCTGAGTGTAGTGTTCCGCATCACAGGGGGCTCTGCCTTCTTCACAGCCCAGCCCTAGAGCATCTGCACGATGCCCCACGTCCACACCGATACCAGTTTTCAGGAAAGGAGAGAAAGGCAATCAGGGCAGGCTTCCAGGAGGAGGAAATGGGATGACAGGGTCTGCAAGGCAAGAATTGAGCACAAAAGAAAGTGAGTTAAGATCTCTGTCTCCAGGGAATTCTAGCAGCTGCTGGGGGAAAAAAACCACAGGTTTTGGGGACAGCTGTGGGACACTGAGAAAGTCCAATTTTCAGAATTTTGTTTCCTCCTTTTTTTGTTTTGGTTGGTCCAGGCCTTGAACTCAGAGCTCTGCCTGCCTCTGCCTCCTGAGGGCTGGGATCGAAGGTGTGTGGGTGCTACTGTTTCCTCCTTTAAAACTCCTGGTCCCTAATCTGCCTTTAGGTACTTCAATGTCAAACTGCTGAAGCCCAGCAGCTTTAAGATTTTTTTTTTTTTAAAGGATGGGAATGTGTATCTTAGGAGTGGATGTCAGCCTAGCATGTGCAGGCAGACTCTGAAGTCCATCCCCAGGCCCAGAAGGAGAAGGAAAAAAAAAAGCTTAATTAGAGACGTGGTCTCAAGTAGCCCAGGCTGACCTCTAGCTCATTATATAGTTGAGGATAATCTTTTTTTTTTTTTTTTTAAAGATTTATTTATCATGTATACAGTGTTCTGCCTGCATGTGTGCCTGCAGGCCAGAAGAGGGCACCAGATCTCATTACAGATGGTTGTGAGCCACCATGTGTTGCTGGGAATTGAACTCAGGACCTCTGGAAGAACAGCCAGTGCTCTTAACCGCTGAGCCATTTCCCCAGTCCAGTTGAGGATAATCTTGACCTCCTGATCCTCCTATCTCTACCTCCAAAGTGCAGGATGGCAGGTATGTGCCACTATACCTGTATTGAAGCAAAACAAACAACATTCTCTAATACATGAAGGGCTCACCCAGGCCAGAATGCTCAGGCGCTCTGGGCCCCATCCTCTCTTCCTCTATCTGCTCTGTGGGTCTCCCCTAGACCAGTGGTCCTCAACCTCCCTAATGCTGTGGCCCTTTAATGTGGTTCCCTATGTTGTGGTGACCCCCAACCATAAGATTATTTTTGTTGATACTTCATAACTGTAAATTTGCTACAGTTATGAATCATAAAGTAAATATCTGTGTTTTCCAGTGGTTTTCAGTGACCCCTGTGAAAGGGGTTGAGACCCACAGGTTGAGAACCACTGCCCAGCCGTCAGGGTAGGAGGCGCTAACTCTGAGAAAGTGACCCGGAGTCTCTTAACTTCCATCTCTTCTGCTCTAAGAGGCTGCTGGAGCTGCTGCTGGTGGTGGTGGTGGTGGTGGTGGTGGTGGTGGTGGTGGTGGTGGTGGTGGTAGTGCACGCCTTTAATCCTAGCATATGGGAGGCAGAGGCAGATGGATCTCTGTGAGTTCGAGGCCAGCCTGGTCTACAGAGCTAGTTCCAAGACAGCCAGGACTACACAGAGAAACTTTGTCTCAACAAACAAACAAACAAACAAACAAAAAACAACAACAACAAAAAATCAACAAAAAAAGAAGAGTCTGATGGCCACCTGGACCTACCTACTCAGCTTTTCCAGCTGACTATGGATCATTTGGGTCAACAGGAACAGATGCACAGAGGGAAGAAAAAAAAAAAAGCATGTGCTCCGGAGCTGGGCCGTGTGACATCCAGGCCTTCCACTCCTGAGCAGAGTTAGAAGGCTTCTCTCCCAACCCCCAGCACATGGCTCCTCTTCTCTAAACTGGGATGACCACGTGTGCATTAGGAGTGTTAGGTAAAAGATTACAAAACAAGATCCGTACGTGCTCACTGCCCAGTTAGACAATTACCTACTTACTGTGAATGATGGTGCCTGGTATGAGGTAAACACTTTCCCAGGCATCAGCTCCTGCCCACTGTGAGCAGCCTGTTCAGGGGGAGGTCCATGCACCACCACCGCTCTAGGTGTGTGGGGTACGAATGCACCTCTCAATTGTGATGGTGGGTAGCTGGGAAGGCTGCCTCCGCACCACGCTGGAGCCCTGGCTGGATGCTGGGTCTGGCACCCGAGAACCCTGCCTCAATCCCCGGTGGAGACCCTTAAGTCTAGCCCCTTCTTCCTCTACTTAGGCAGAGCTGAGAGGGTGGCAGGCATTGGTATGTGGTGAAGGAGGCAGGCTAGGCCAAGAAAGCACAGGCTGCCAGTGTGGGGAGCGGAGCATGATGTCTCACCTAGTCTCCTAATGTGGAGACCTTATCTTTGCAGACAATACCCCCA